CGAATCATACGGATAGCTGCTTTGCGCCCAACGGGTTCAGGCTCAATTCGCTTACAGATAGCGGCAGCAGCAAAATTCACACAGGGTTCGGAGTGCGCAGCACTAGTATTCCCTTCTCCCATCCGTTCCGCAGTGGTGAAAGGCGCCTTATAACACAAGGTTCCCTTCCGCAACTGCAAGGTGTGGGTCTCATAATTCAGATGAGCCCCATACTGATCAAGGGTAGCGGACCCTAAGATAAACGTGGCTGCATCAGTAAACTTAGGCAGCACATACGGACGGACATTTAGGCGCAAAGGGCCCAAGGATATACGAAGGGAAACTTGACCCAAAATGACCTGCTTACCCCCGTCAGCAAGGGTGACAGATGACCACGATGTCGGTTGAGGTTTCAGTCCGAGTTGCTCAACGATGGACGCAGAAATGAAGTCGTCGCTGGCACCAGAGTCGGCCATGGCAGTTAAAGAATGTCCAGCGACACGAATGCCAACTAACGGGACTCTGGGCCCTGTTGACGTAGCAACTTTTGCACACAGGACTGAAACATGGGGCTCCGTGTCAAGGTGCCCCAGGACAAGAGGGGGATCGTACCAAACGTCAGCAGTATACGGCAGACCTGGAAGGGAAACAAGTTGACCCGTCATGTCTACACCGTTGAAAAGCTTGCTACCAGCGCGAAACTGAAGAACCCGACGCATCCCTATCAGCAAGGAGGCAGCCCTCGGGGATACATGTGCTGGTAACAGTAGACAGGCAGCGGTGTCCGGTCGCTGACGTTTGCAAATACGATAGTAAGCCAGCTGAGACTGAAGTTCCTTGAAAGAGGAAGGGGAAATCCAAACGGTATGCCCACCCAAGTTACTAGAGGTTAGACGCTGTGGAATAGCAAAAAGATTACAGTGCTCGTCAAAACCAGGACGAGCAGTACGAGCGTCAAACGAAAAACGCCGTCCAACGGCCTTCTCAACTTGGTTTAAAACGGCCGGTAAAACAGCACGGACAGCACGTCCAACCGGGCAGATAACGGGCACCGTTCGGGTTTGTAACCCAGGGAGTGCTTCCCTAACACTGTCCTGGGCAACCCCCTATTTTCCCCCGTTCCTAGCTCTCTTCTCTGACAGCAACGGGCACTCTGCTACTAGGTGCTTATCCTCCCCACAGCGGAGGCAACGGCTATTTTTCCGGCGGTACTCGTACTCCGCCCGAGTGCAGTAAAACTTATTCATCCATTCGGCCGGATTTGAATCCCGGCCACGCTTGCCTAGCACCGTCGCCCCTGTTCCCGCGGCAGCGGCCCTGGGCCGACCCTTGTCCCTATGCTTGCCACCCCGACCCCTGCGCCCACGCCCTATGGCATAAACATGCCGGTTACCGACCGTTTGGGGCCCATTAACCCAACCGGCCGGTTGAATGGCGTAACGGCCCGGTGAT